AACGGCGACTGAGTTTCGTTCCCCATCTCTCTGTCCGTCTTTACGGCGAAGAATGAAACCGGGATAGAAACTCAGTCGCCGTTTGATATCACGCCGTTGGGTTGGCTGATTTGTCACAGTTTCCAGGTTTTGTGAATTAACCGCATTGACACAATCAGCGGAAGCATCACATTTTTGAATTTGTACGTAGCTTATTGAGGTTGTTTTCACTTCCAGAAGAGGAGGAGTTTGTGATGGAATTGATTGAGTGTCTTCAAATTTTCCGTCCGCGTATGGGTTAACCAGCACTTCAGATTCGTCATCGGACCTCACACCAAAACAGGAGCTTATGTGCCCCTGTTCTTCACTATCCTCATCCGCAAATGGAATTTCCATAGATTCACTGGCCGAAAATGGCCAGTTATGTTGCGAGTTTTCAACAATTCCCGATCCGAGGCTGGCATTGGACCAGGGGTTAGAGAAAGCTTTGGTTGGTTGAAATCCATTCTTACTATCTGCCAGTGGTACCGAGTTGTTTGGCCCGGGCTGGTGGTCACACGCGTGCACGTTTATTTGAACCACTTCATGATGGTTGGATTGGCCACTGTTCTGATTCATACCCTGTTCAAATGATGTCGAATCAGACTGTTCTTGAAGCGTGATCAGTTCGGTTTTGACGGGAAACACATTGTCTGTTTGTGGCGGTTTTGCCGGACAAAACAAAGTTATGACTGGATTCTCCGATTCCGTTTCCGATTCGGCACAGGTATGCGACACCTGAGATTCTTCTTCTTTGATATGGACTCCACAGCTGGATATAAAAGCCATGTCTGGATCTAGGCTACCGGAATCGATTGAACGTCCACGCATGACTGGCGCCATTGTCGGTGGAACTAGGAGATTATTTCCAACAGCTTTGTTATTCTGAATGGCTCCATAATTTATTATTGGGCTTGTGGCTTCAAATCGCATCGCGGAAACGGGGTCACCTGGTCGAAGAAACGAACCCCTTGGGGTTGGAGTGAATCCTGAGGATGGCAACAAACTGGTTTGTTTGGTGGACGGATCTAAATAGCTCACAGTACCGACAGACGAGGCGCTTAGTCGGGAAGAATACCGCCGACCGAAGCGTTTATAGGACGAGCACTGGTGACATTCTTTGTCCCTTCGATTTTGTGCTGGCATGTTATCCTGTTGTGCGTTCTCCAGACAAGCTTCGAATTCGGCCAACTGTGCCACCGCATTTGGAGGCAAATTTTCCGCGGAACATTTTGATCCTTTTTGACGTCCGGATCCAGACTGTGAGGTACGTGATCCGGTGCCACTACGCGCGGCGGTAGCCGCGCATCTTTCACAGCTTTCCACATTTCTTTGCGAATCTCTATACGACCCCTCTCTGTGTGATCCACGCTGACTATTCCCGTTCATAGCTCCCGAGCTGAGGAATGATAAGTGATCTTGTTTTCTCCCATGGAACAGAACTGATCGACTAAACACAAAGTTGAACTTACACCAGTTCCCGCAGCAGTAGCACACCTGAACCACCGCCGCATCGTTGTGTCGTTTGGAGTGATACGAATTGGCCATTCCGTCCATCGAGTGTCCGAGATCGGCATGATCAGGTAGAGTTGTGCCATGTGAATGAGACAGTCGCGTGCTTCGACGCCACCGAGCGTTCCATTCGCGAAATTTCGTGCCCAATCGGACTGCCCGGGTCAGCTTTACCCAGTACAATTTGGATAGGGTGATAACAAACTTGTTCAGCCAACCGTATAACCACGGATTTATACAGCCAGAACCCATTGCAAACAGTCGGAGCAAGAGATCAATCAAGCGAATCTTTTCTTCGTGACCTTCTGAGTCTAAGATTGAAAACAAATCTGGATTTGCCAGCGGTACACCCCCAGTCAAAGTGGCCATCGCGGAGGCGTCTAATGGGGTTGTGGTCGCTCCCGAAACAGTTCTGTTCACACCAAACAGTTCCCGATCCAAATAGGATTTGGCTTTGTGACTCACCATCCGGTTGACCCAGTCCATATGTCTCAGTTCCACTGTGGATGCGGAGGAATATTGATACATAAGACCGGATAAATCTCCCCTTGTTGTCACGTCATTCATATGATCTAAGCGCCCAAGGGTTTTCAAATCGGTAGCCGTAGTCAGAGCCTTGGATTGCCAAAGAAATGCCAACACTTCTACCCACAAACAGAAACAACACCACGGAGTCCAACAAACGGCAAAACAGACCACAATACGCACGAGAATTTTGTTTGTACGACGTTTTCTCTCGACGGAACTGCGTCGGAAACGACTTTCGTGTAAACGGAAAAATATGTGCCCGTACAAGCCCATCGTCAGACAAAGCGGGATCAAAAAATGCACTAGAAATGTGACAATCGAGTAGATCAGGCGACCGGTCACATTGGGCCACATTTCGACACAATAAGTGTGCGCATGACTGGCTGCGTATGTGTGATTCTCTGTGTACGGAATGGTTGACTGGGGTGGAATCACAGCTTGACTGATTGTACTATACAGAGCAATGGGCAGACTGTTCAGTATGCTTAACAAACAGATCAGTAAGATCAGGAATAGGGCAAATCGTGTGGACATACGCGGGTACAACGGATAGATGATGATCTGATACCGATCGCAAGCAATCATCAATATGGTCAGACAGGAAATATGCATGGGAATCCCAAAGATGGTGAATACAATTTTACAAGCAGCTGAATTTAGTTCGTTAATTTCTTTCAACTCGTAATACGCTTGCATTGGCATATTGAACCCGCAAAGAGTCACATCGGAAATAGCCAGAACTAGAACAAACACATTGGTGATATTGGCCAATGCACGCCGACGTCTAATCAGTAGTATGTAGACCACTGTCAAATTGGACACGACACCTATCACAGCCAAAATAGTGTAAGTGGTAACCAACAGGTTTTTAATCCACGGAATGCGATGCGAAGCGAAATCAGGTCGACCGTAACCGGCGTGTAATAGAATCCACTGAGCGTGGATCGGATTGATTGTGGTCGGTTTCCCGGTGTCCAGTTGGGCAGATCGTTCGCCCGTTACCCACTCGTGTATCACACCAGCGGACGGAGCGTACACTTTTCGAACTGCTGTATCATTCGATAGCCCACGGGCACCGGCTGACATATTACCCGTGAATTGACCATCTGTGGGAATGGCTGCACTGTGGACGGAAACCGGCAAAGCGAATCCTACGCACAAACACATAGAAGTAACAATCCACGAACACATTGGGTCTGGAATAAGAGGTAGGAGGGACCAGTATAATGGAATCAGATGATGTACTAGCCAGATTGAATCGGTTTCTGATAAAAGTGATATATATTATTCAAAAAGGATGGGAATATTCGTATTTAAGGAATTTTAGTTTGGTTGACCACTCTTAAACCCTATCGTCAAGTAAAAGATTCAGTTCACTTGATTGAACCTACAATTATTGGTAGAAATCTTCTGAACTGATCCTCAATTTAGACGTTTATTTGCGTTTCCGATATCATAGATCCATATCACATATTGGTCATGGGAAAAGAGCATCCGTTTCGTCCGTGGCCAGGTTGAGGCATGCGGTGGAGAAATAAGACAAATGTAATGTAATTGCCAAATTGGTGGACCCTGAGTCAACAAGACAGTCCCAGGTTTCCTGTATGTAGAAAAAAACAATTATACTCGAATCTCGGCAGGTTTGGAGTTCATCAGTGGCGTACAAGGTTCACCCCAGGATCCCTCCCACGCGTGGATGGCTTCCCCGTTGCCACTGTCAGTAAAGTCAAAAAAATGTTCTGTTGATTGTTGCCGATTCGAGTTTCTTAGAGATGCACTTTTTGGAGTTAACTAGCCACTTTAGATGGTCAATGTTTGGATTAGCCCATTCGGATTTTCACAGGCACCAGGTCCATTCGATGCATGCAAATTCATGTACTTGTAAAGAATTAACGTTCTCCCAGAGAGTGAAACTCAAGATCAGCAACAGTGTCTGGTGCCTGTGAAAAGCCAGATGAGCTAATACAAACATTGATCATCTAACTGATTGGGCCATTCGCACAAGGTGATAACCGTCGACCGTCTAGCTCAGGGGTAAGGGTTTGAAGTTCCGACCCGAATGTTTGCGGTTCGAGTCTTGACACAGGGACACAAAACGTACGCACTGGTGGCGGAGTCCCGAAGGGGACGAAACAGCTGTCCAGTGCATTCTTTGTCGGTTATCACAAACATTCCCACTGCATTTAACTAGACACTTTTCGGCCTGTATGGTCGGAATGGGAAGCGAAAGTACACGTGACCTACGAATGAGCTAAAACGAGAGTGTGAATTTATAGTAGTAGTACATCTCGATAACATGCGTGACTGGATGAAATGAGAAACGATGGAGTCTGAACTAGTAGTGCATACATAACTCACATCACTGGTCACAGATGAGGCGTATGCTGAAAAGAGTAAGTTATTTGGGTCTTGCGTGAATTCTCTCTCTCTAAATTCTCTGAACTATGAATCTGTTCGGCTGTCGTTTATCCTCACTCTGTGTCCACGTGTTATAACTGTTGCACAGCTCAGCATAGGATGCGCTTTGATCCGATCGTTGACCAAAAGACTCAGTCTAATTTATTAATTTCAACCCTGTTTATCCATACTATGCTTGTTGACGTTCATTCACTCCCCACGCACCCGGAAGCGCGACAGTAAGCGATTGGATGTGAGGTCAGTGCTGCTTTCGTAAAGAATATCCATTCAGATCGCTTAATTTGCCGGAGGGGAAATTAGCTATACGGGCAGGTGAGATTGTTGTTAAATTTGACGGTAGCACCCCGTGTAAAGTGAAGCAATTAGATTCATTCACAACCAACTTGAACAGATCATTTTTAAAATAACCCGCAACAGAGATAATGGTTTTAAGATCTGTTTGACAATCGTTCGTGCTATTCTTGCCATAAACATGACAATTCACAGACTGCTTTTTAGCCTTACTTTTTAATGTTCGTTCTCAACTGGGTTTGAATACTCAAATGTTCACTTTTGTTCAACATTTCTGATACCTTTTGTGAAGGAGTTTTATGTAAAGATCAACACGGAGCACTGGACAACTGTTTGGCCTATTTAGAGGCTCACAACAATAGGAAGCACTATGTTAGTGACTATATCGAGACATTAATCGTACGTGATCCTTCCCTTGTTTTGGAGATCTCGGAGCAAATATGTGGGTGTGTGGTTATGTGGACTGGAGACATTCTTGTCCGGTAACATAGGCAAAATAGATGTCCAGTCGTGCATGTCAAACATCACACAAACATTCGTTCAAAACAATACAAAACTCTGTCCAAATTGACAATCCAGTGTTGTGTTCAACTGCTGAGAAAATGACAGACAGCTGAAAACATGTCTGAACAAAGGAAATGTTACATCAGATGAACAAAGCGAGATTGTAGTAACCACCCTCTTCTATACGGATAACTGGCAACCCATTGGTGTGGGTGTAGTGTACTCATTCATTCATTGCAACCGCTATTTGTTTGCGTTCAGACCAGTTCAGGGCTTTATTAAGTTAACCGTGTGTGAATTTATCAGGCCAAAGTGGAACATATTTGGCGGCTCGGTACGACCGGTACAATCGTCGCGCATTAGTATATTTTCCGTGATGTCTTGGGGAACGTCTGCGAACAACATTTCCAGCTGGAAAAACTCACGGAAAACCACATCCACATCCCGAACTATATTCTTTTCATATTATTTGCAACAACTTTAATATCTTCGTACCATTAAAAGTGAAAATAAATCTGCTTTGTTTTGAGCAGATAAAGCTGAAAATACACACCGTGGGGAAACTGTGGTAGAAATAGATCCGTTTCAGGCTATGGCCACCCAGAAAGATTAATTGGTAGAGATCGATGACCTTCAAGGGTACCGCATGCATAAATAACCCCGGTGTAAATCAGGTTGCTGGATGTTTTTTCTCGGGTCTTTCACGCTTTAACTGTTCGTCTCAATGCATTTTTTGTTTCCAGATGAACATCAACCTGTACTTTTTCAATACATTTGCATCACTTTTTCTCCAAGACAACTCGCCTGGATCATACTTGATGTTCCGCTTGTCCGAACGGATCGATGAGCGACTGAAAGCCTAACAGCACCATGGTTTTTCACGTGGCGGAAACAATTCGGATGATCACAACGAATGAGTCATTACAATGAGTATATGAGATTACTGGTCTATGCTCCATTTGTGTTCCATGTTCATTTTAGTCAGTCTTCGGGAAATAAGTGGAGACGGACCTAAGGTGAACGTACAACTTTATGATCATTGGCGTTTAAACACAGATAAAAATGCACTGCAAATTATGTTTCCATCTTTTCTGTTTTTCTACTGAACACGTGTCTGAATCTCAGAAGCAGTTAGTAGAACACTGTATGCTTCAAAATGAAAATCTGTATTCAGATCCAAATAGATTATTTTTCTCATTGAAGGGCACAGTGTCCGATCCTGCAGCCTTCATTTTGCGCACACTCATTCATCTGTCCTTATGGGACTGGACATATCACAACGGTACAAGTGCTAATCCGATCGCGTTCGTGAACACTACCGGGGATTGGTTGGGGATAGGAGCAACGCAGATAACTGTGAGCCTGGTGTGTTCACATCTCGTTCAGTCAACTCCCTCAGTGGATGTGGTAAACACGTTTCGCCCTGGATTTATACTGTTTTCAATGTGGACAATGAAGAACAATGAGGTATCGTATCCTAGTCACGAATTCCGAATTCCCTCATGTGCCTGGGAAGAAATTCATGCCGGCACTTAGCCTCCCGCGGCCCCCTTCGATCGTCTTAACACGGGTGCAACCACTGGAACTTTCGACATTGTGTAATCAATTTTACAGACCCCTTTTGGAGCCAAATATGAACCATGAGGAATGTCATCTGTCATCTGGCACCTGATTCGTTTTTCATATGTTCTAGGAAACCAAATACTACCGCATGCCACTGATGAAAGGGATTTCGGAGTTATGGTACAGGAGGACGTAGCATGTTCCACGCACTGTGCCAAAGCATCAACCACGGCTCTAAAGCAAGTTGGACTACTTAAACGTGTTTTCGGTCAGTTCGAAAGAGCGCTGTT